GAAAGAAAGAAAGAAAGAAAGAAAGAAAGAAAGAAAGAAAGAAAGAATAATAAAGTTATTAAAATTAATTATTAAGAAAAAAATTTAAAAAAAAAAAAACATGGACGGATAGAACCCTAGGGTAAATGGTGGAAGCAAAACTATACAGACAAGATCTCACACAGAAGCATACACATACACATTCACAAAAAGAGGAAAAGGGGAAAAAAATCATAGATCTTGCTCTCGAAGCCCACCTCCCTCCTCAATTTGGGATGACTCGTCTATTCATGTATTCCACAGATGCAGGGTACATCAAGTTGATTGTGGATCTTTAATCCGCTGCCTCTGAGGCTGCTGGGAGAGATTTCCCTTTCTCTTCTTTGTTCTCACAGCTCACAGGGGCTCAGCTTTGGATTTGGCCCTGCCTCTGCGTGTAGGTCGCTGGAGGGCGTCTGTTTTTTGCTCAGGCAGGACGGGGTTAAAGGAGCCGCTGATTCGGGGGCTCTGGCGCACTCAGGCCGGGGGTGGGGGTGGGGAGGGAGGGGCACTGCGTGCGGGGCGGGCCTGCGGCGGCAGAGGCCGGCGTGACGTTGCACCAACCTGAGGCCCGCGGTGCGTTCTTCCGGGGAAGTTGTCCCTGGATTCCGGGAACCTGGCAGTGGCGGGCTGCACAGGCTCCGCGGAAGATGGGTGTGGATAGTTACCTGTGCTCGCATACAGGCCCCTTGGTGGCGGCAGCAGCAGCCTTAGCGTCTCCTGCCCGTCTCTGGGGTCCGCGCTTTTAGCCGCGGCTCGCGCCCATCTCTGGAGTTCCTTTAAGCAGAGCTCTTAAACCCCTCTCCTCGCGCACCAGGAAACAGAGAGGTAAGAAAAAGTCTCTTGCCTCTTCGGCAGGTGCAGACTTTTCCCCGGACTCCCTCCCGGCTAGCCGTGGTGCACTAACCCCTTCAGGCTACGTTCAAGCCGCCAACCCCACACTGACAACTGTTTCCTTGTCTACATTCTTCCCCCACACGTGCACACTTGCCAAAATATATATAAATACACACACACACAAATATACACACTACTTGTTCATTCATTCCTTAAGCAGGATCTTAGGGTAGTAACTTTTCTGAGCCCAGTCTTTTATATCGGCAAAATTAGAATTACAATACCTGTCTTATTATCTTGCAAAGTCCATACGAGAAAAATGGGAAAAAATGTACATATATATGTATGATAATAAGTGTTTCCTTCCTTGTAATAGAGAACAAGTCTGTTCAAATTTCACTGTAATTACTGTAGTTATTGACTGATTTTTAGAGGTATTTTCTTTAATAGCAATAGAGATTTTGAAAGGGATGCCTTTTCAGTGCACTTCATTCCCTACAAACCAAGGGCGAAGCAAAGCCCCTCCATTCTGCTCTGGTTCCACCCCCAAGTTTGTCCCCCCAGTGTCAGAACCTGTCTATATCTCTGATCTACCTTGGTTCAAATCAAATCTCTTGCTGTAAAATTTCAATGACCTTAGAAAAAAGTGTGTAATGTCATGGAAAATATCTATTTTACAAGAGGTATCTGATAAACTGTTATACATGCAAAAGATGTTCAGTGTTGTTCTGGAAACTGTAGCCTGGATAGTCCTCAATGCAAAATGAAACATTTCTTTAAAAAACTGGTATTTCAATTTTCCCTTTTTAGATGAACTAATAAAAACAAAACATCTGGGCTTCCCTGGTGGCGCAGTGGTTGAGAGTCCGCCTGTCGATGTAGGGGACACGGGTTTGTGCCCCGGTCCGGGAAGATCCCACATGCCGCGGAGCGGCTGGGCTCGTGAGCCATGACCGCTGACCCTGTGTGTCCGGAGCCTGTGCTCCGCAACGGTAGAGGCCACAGCAGTGAGAGGCCCGCGTACCGCAAAAAAAAAAAATCCTAGTAATAATTGGTTTCAGTTTATCTAGATTTTGCTTAAAATGCAAGGGTCTGTGATTATGGCCAAAGTGGCTAGAGCCAAGTGAAGGCATTTGGGGGGCCCTCATGCCTTTTCTTTCTGTGTTAGACAGGACTCTGGAGAGCTAGAAAAGCAGCTGAAGCAAGTCTTGAAGGAGCGGAGCACCATCCTCCGCCAGCTGACAAAAACATCAAGAGAACTTGATGGAATTAAAGTCAACCTTCAGGTGAGATGAAAACTAATTTTCTCAGCAGCAAAGGGTGAGTCACCTGGTTTGTCTCAGTGGGTTAACATGTAAAGACTTCTGCATTTTTTTTTACCAGTTTTGAATATATTTCTGGGCTTGAACATGGGAGTTATTATTTATTATTATATGAGCTTCGAAAAGAAATGTCATTTGAAATGCAGTCTGGGAATCTGTGGTTTGCAAATTCAGGAATGAGAAAACTGTGTGCTTGGCAAAGCCATCAATTTCTCACAGTTTCTAAGATCAGTTTGACCCCTGTGTTTCTTATATTACAAAATGATGAAAAGCAGTTATGGCTAAGAGTCATAAATGAATATAGAAATTGTCTCCTGAAGAGAACTTTAAATTCCACAAAGGATAGTTCTGAAAATTCTTTAATAAACCTCATTACTAAAATGGGTAAATGCCTTGCAAAGGAAAGTGTCATCTGTGAATATGTATTAGTACTCAGTGAAATCTAAATCAAAAACCAAAGACAAGATCTATATCTGATAAGAAAAGTTTCTGAAATATCTGAGAATATATTTTAATATTTTCCTTTAACATTGTATTTTTGAATACATACTGATACTAAAAGCTTTGTATGTATTATAGGATTTAATTCTCCTAATATATCAATGAGGGTAGGCACTATAAATGTGAGTTTTCTTGTTACACATGAGGAATCATGCTTGAATGTCACAAAGGAAACCAGAGTTTAAATGCAGGCAGTCTGACCCCACAGCCGGTCTGTTAGTTATCGCACTGAACCAAGTTTCTGAACCTTGTGTAATCACCATTGTTCTTAGCTTTTTAGTCCCATGATGATGATTATGGTGTCAGTAAGCACTACAGTTTATTGAATGTGGTCTCTTGTGTTAGGTCCTCTTTCTCCAATTTTTAATTAATTTTCACATGATGATTATGCTATGATTATTATTAGCCTCATTTTACAAGTGAGAAAACAGAGTTAGAAAAGGGCTTGGAATCTGAGAGCACAGAGAAAGTTAGGAGGTGGATCTGGTATTTTGAACCCAATACCCAAGCTCTTGTTCCAGAAGTTGTATTACATCTTGAGAACATGAAAATAGCAGAAAATTTACTCACACTCCAGTAGGATACAGTGACAGGTAGCAAGATGGTAACAGTGCAGGAATAACAGTTCTATGGTAGAAGTTTGCACAGAGCATTAGGGACGCACTGACTAGGATGAAAATGGGTGCATATTGATTTCCATATAGGAAGTTGAGGCCAGAATGCTACCTTTTCATTAAGTAGAAATTCACAAGTTTTATGAGACTTCAAAGAATATTTAAGACACTTGCACCTTCTTAGAGGCATGAAACACCTGGCACGTTGAGAATTTTTCAAGCTTATGGTGAAATAAATGCCCATGAGTGGTCAGTACTTCCAGCCACGACACTCAGTATCTCTATACTAGCAGCCTAAGTTAAGTCAACCTAAGTGTCCATCGACAGATGAATGGATAAAGAAGATGTGGCACATATATACAATGGAATATCACTCAGCCATAGCAGGAAATGAAATTGAGTTATTTGTAGTGAAGTGGATGGACCTAGAGACTGTCATACAGAGTGAAGTAAGTCAGAAAGAGAAAAACAAATACCGTAAATACCGTATGCTAACATATATATAGAATCCAAAAAAAAGATATCGAATTACAGTCTAGGAAATTACTTGAAATAAATGTACAATTTTGTGGAGTTACTTTTTGAAAGGGTAATACATCTATCACTCAATGTAATTGCAATCTTTTAAAATGCCTTTTTTTAATTTTGTGACAGCCATTGTGCAAGGAGTTTTTTATTTAATTCTTATCTTATTAAATCCCCTCAACAAGCTTTTCACAAAATAAGATAATATTTTACTCATTGTACAGTGAGGAAATGAAATTCAAAGAGGCCACAGGAATCTCCCAAAGTCATACATCTAATAAATGTTGATTCCAGGTTTCAAACTCATAGTAAATAAATAAATATATTGCCCATTGTACACATTTTTTTTCATATTTTTTTCCAGTGGGGCTTCATAAAGACATGAGCTTTGAAAGCCTTGTTCATCTCTGTAACCATAGCACCTGGATGGCATCACAATATAGATCCATATATAAACATTGTATTAATTAAGTAGTAGGTATATCAATCTTTGCTATCCTTAAAGTCATCAAAATTATTTTCCAAGACGTATACCCCACTTCTCTGGACATTGCTGGGGAAATAATAATCAAATACTAATGAGTTCTTCTAATTGGATACATTTTTCAGACCCTCATCTGCATACTTACCCTTTTCATATTTTCATTTCTTCATTTCATGTTTTCTTTTGTTTTTAATTTCTTGAGGATAGTGCCATGCCCTTTTAATCTTTGTTTCCTTCAGAATGCCTGGAGTGTAGCAGATGGTAAAATGAATAAGCATATTTTTATTATACTTTTCACCAAGTGCTTTCACACATCTATTATCCCCTTTGAGTTTTCCAGGAACTGTCTAATGTAGGCTCTTCAAAATTCTCATCCCTGTTTATCAGATAAGGAAGTCAAAGTGCAGATTTTGTGACCTGTCCCAGGTCATGTGGCCATGATGCACTTTGAACTGTAAATCCCATGATTGGTGATTTTCCCCCAAACCTGTTTTTTTGTGTTTTACGTCAAGCTACTCTTTTCAAATAAACAGAGCACCTTTTATTGGCTGCTTCCTAATAATGATATCAATCAGTCATTTTAGGGAAAAGGGTTCTTTTGTGATGCTTACCCCACCACATCCATATCAGAATGCTTAACTTACTACATGAAAATTGTTTCTAGCATTAGGCTGAAAAAGTGGTGAAGGCAGACACTATGGCTTTGTTGTTAATTAAATATTAGGTAAGCAACATGTTTGCCATTCTTGTTATTGTCAGTTCCTTACCTGTCATAGCTGCTCTTTTTACAAACAATATTATTGTGTCTGTTTTAACTTTTAATATCAAAAAGGATAGGTCACCCTGTTAAATAATATACTAAGTATAAAAAAGAAAGTTTTCAGGGAAGGATTAACGGGTCAGATTCTCTAATGAGAAAAGCTCAGTGGGCTTTTCTCTTTTAATTCAGGGTCTGTCAATGCTGAATTTGCCAGAGTAAATAAACAGTAATGACTGTTTTTTTCTTTAATATACTATCTATACAGAACAGTTACAATTTTAAATGGCCCTAGTTTTTCTATGCATTGTAATGCGTTACTCATAAATAATAAATAGGCCAGACCAAACAGGTGCATGCCATTTGACTGCTTTCATCCTGATGTATTATTACTTAGCTTATTTAGGGAGGCCTTTTATGTCCCCTTGTGTTTGTAGAAACTATGCCAGAACCAGTTTAACATGCCTGCAGAGAACATAGTAAAACTTCAAATGAAGAGCAGAAGATCTGTTTTATATTCACTTATAAAGAGACCTAGGTATTTGGAGAGTACTTTCTCCTCCACTGAACCTCTAAAGGCTGAATATCAGTTCATTCCCTTTCACTCACTGTGTAGCACTTGCACCACTTGGTGTCATAAATTGTGCATCCTGAGAGCCTATGTGCATCCTGAGAGCCATGGGGACCATCATGGCCTCGTTTGTACATTCTTATTTCAGGGCATAAGTGCAGCCACCCCTTGTGCCATAAACACAAAAGTAAAGTAAGCTTCAATTTATCACATGAATAAGACTTCCTTTTCCCACTTTTCTTATCAGAATTTGAAAAACGATGAGAAATCTGCCAAAACTGATGTTCAGAAGCTTCTGGAAATAGGTCAGAAACAAAGGTAAGGCTGTGTTTTCCTTTTATTTTCTTAGTTCTTTTCCTCCATAGCCAAACTCCATTCAGAGACTTCACAAGAATAAGTTTATTCTAAATGCATTCATTTCTTTATATTCTTACTTACACTTTAATGTATAAGAATCTTGTTCAAATGTAGATCCTTATAAAATAAGTGTAGGGTGACTCTTGAGATTCTGCATTTCTAACACGTTCCCTGGTGATGGGTGATCCCGATACTGATGCTGCTTGTCTGCAGATCTCAATTCAACCGTTAAGGATCTGGAGTACTTTCCTTTATCGTCCCACTAAGATGGGCCCACATAAGTCTGCCCATCAATAGATCCAATAACAATGACATCAGTGGGCCGTTGTTTTTTTTTGTTTTTTTTTTTTCAGATTCTGTGATCTGAAGTTTATAACTTGTAGAGGACTTTGGCCTTTTTTAATAGTATCAAAACTTGATCGTGGCGATAGTGGTGGGGGGTGGTAAGAAATGGGGTAAACTTAATGCAGTAGAATTGGAACAGTTTTATTATTGTTGCCGTGTTTATTTTGGAAGGAAGTGAACTATGAGCTAGATTTCTATGCAGTATTAAAAAAACTATATGACTTGAAATTGCTTCTCAAGGAAAAAAAAAAAAAAGCCAAGGTATTTTAAGGTAGAAACAAGCCAGCATTTGTTATTTGTTATACGTTTACTAGAGGCTCTACTAGATGCTTTATATTTTTTTTTCTTGTTTCAACACCACAAGTATAGATTAAATATTATTGTCCCCATTCAGTAAATGGGAAATTATTGCTCAAAATGCTTAAGTGAATTGATGAGAGTTGTGTTAATTGGAATTTGCTCTGCTGTGTCTTACCCATAGCCATACCCTTTCAAGATAGTTTACTGATTCAAATCAAAAAGCTGTTTAAAAAGTTGACAGATGCTACACTATGTAGTCCCTTCTCACCATCTTCTATCTTCTCCACTGTCCTTGCCTCTTGACCCAGAAACCTCATGGCATTGAGGCAATGACATGTTAAAAATCAAATCAAGCATCTTATATTGACTCTTGTTATTATTTAAATGGAATCATTATTTATTGAACATGAAATTCTCTCCAAAGTCCAGTATTAAAAAGATGTCATATAAAATATGGGTCTGAGCATGTTTCCAAAATTACATGGTTTTAAATTATTTTATTCGTTTGAAATAATCCACTTTTTAAAACACCTGTGCTCAATATCACACAAGTATATGTGATTCACTGAGTTAGTGGAGAATTATAAACAATATTTTTCAATAGAAATAGCTAGTCAAAATGTTACCAAGCCTAAGCTTGTACTGCTCCCTGCACAACAGGCCAGTAATCAAGAGACGAGTTCTTGAGACAAGAAATAGTGACTTTATTCAGAAAGCCATAAAAACCGAGAAGATCGTGGGCTTGTGCCCCAAAGAACCATCTCGCCTGAGTTAGAATTCAGGCTCCTTTTATATACTAAAACGGCAGCCTCCGGAGGGCATGTGTTACTTTTTTCTTCCCTGCAGTCACTCACAGGTAGACCTGGTCAGGATGTTTCCTGTGAGCTAAACAAAGGTATTTTAGCTTAATGCTCATTACCTGGGATGCAGGGTTCCCAGAGATGGACCGTTATGTATAATTTAAGCTTATAGGCAACATCCCTTTAGTGATCAACTTGTAATAGAATACAAAATGTTCTTCCCTATTACAAAAACAGACCAAGAGTCATTGAAAATTATCACTTCTTGTAGAGTCTTCCATGTTGGGAAAAGATAATAAACAAAAACATAAAAATAGAAATGACTTTGGCATAATGCATGTGCAATACCAGTGAGAGGGTTGCAGTGACTGAAGAAGACAGATTGAGTCAGGAAAGATCAGAAAATAAAGCTGTTGTGCATAGACTGGGACCACTCAAAGGTTAGCTCAGTGTGGACTTCAGCATAAGCAGCAGAAAACCCATTCATGTAGCTCTGTAAAAGAATGATATAATTAAAGAATTATATTAGGGGAATTATTCTGACAACATTGTTCAAGGCAGAAAGAAAGAGACATAGACCAGGTTGAGAAAAGGTCCCCTAGAGAAGAGACAGAGACATCTCATCAGTGAGGACCATGGAGTGAAAGAGCAACAAAATCAGCCTTTCTTTATTGCAGGAGAGACACAGATGAAGAGACAGCCTTATGCATGATGTGAATAAGGAAAAACCTGTTCTTTTAGCTTACTGATATTTTCTTAAATTATCTATGGTTGTTTCTACATGACACACAAAATATCCAGGCAAATGAGGAAAAACATGGTTGGAGTTATTAAGAATTTCAGGCCATCATCTCTACATTTGGCATGGTATACAGATAGCCAGATGATGGACCAAGTTTTTCAATGAATGTGTTAAATGGAGCATATATTTTGCTATTGTGATTTCAAAGTTTTATCCAAAATTATAAAATTTGTTAAAATGCATAACTTGTATAATGTACACAAAGTCAGCATGGAAAATTCAATAAATCCTAACAATAGGTGATTTCTCAAAAGTATAATACATTTGATATATTAGTTTTTGCTGTTTAGTTAGAGTTATAAAAATCATGGTTATCTGAATGTGAAGGAGGCTGTATATCTCATTTCCAAAATAAAAGAGATTAATAACAGTAAAAGAGAAAAAAGTTATCTCAGACTATAAAAAGTATTAACTGATGGCAAATTTAGAAGTATTATCATAGCCTGAAAGACTAAAATGTATTGCAGATGCCATATGCACCCAGTTCTCAGTAACTACATGTCCTCTGGGATCCTTGTCACCTGGCCCTTACCTGGCGAAGTAGTCCCTAGAAGTTGTGCTGCTTTTGTGTGTCTCTGACATCACGGGCTACAGTTAATTACCTCATAGGTGTCTCTACCAAAACAAAACTGAATCAGTTAGAATTTCCTTCTTGGAATTGTAACCAACAGGCAACTAATAAAGTCCCTCTGTGTAGCTGTACTAGATTGTAAGTAAGTAAACGCAGAGGATATGGCATGGTTGTAAACAACCAGGTAGTGAGAGCAGCATGTCTTTCTGCCAAAGAGGTACAGAGGAAGGAATGTGTATATGTGTGTTTGTGTGTGTAGTGTACGTGTGTGCGTGTGCACATGCACGCATACTTTTACATGAGAAGGAGAAAGTTGCATTGACTCTTGATTGTTACATTTCAGAAATATTTAGACAGCTTAGGTAATATTCATAGAAGAGTCCTCCGGTTGATGGAGAGACTTTTAAGCCATATTATGTGAAGAGTGGGAGTAAGTAACCAAAAAATAGAGACCCTGGGAGATAGGAGAGTACCCTGAAGTTTCTGAAAAGCTGTCTTGAAAATAAAAAGGAATAAAACATTTTACTCTCTACGGTGGATGGTGGGTAGAGATTTTGAGAAGGCAGTTTTGGACTCTGTGTACTAATGGGTTTTAGTATATCGAGTTCTCTGTAAAGGAAAAGAATGCCTGAGATAGTGGCAAGGTTTCTATCTGTGATGTTGTGACAATACAATCTGGTAACCACATGAAAAGAATACCTTCCTGTAGGGTGAGGTATTTTTATATTTATAATTGGGGATGGAAGATGTGTGAAACAGCTGCCTTTTAAAATCCCTTGTAACCATGAAATTCTATGGTAAAATGTACTCAACATCTGAGAAACCCTATCACAGTGTCGCTGGAGCCAACAGTTCTTTAGAATTCAAGCTTCAGTTCAGTGACAAATAGAGCCCAAGAATAGCTCTACATAGTTTGTGCAAATCCCATTTGGTGGAGGGGGGTGGTCGGAGTAGAACTGAGCAAGTTGTGGGACAGGAGTTTGGGGCCACCTAAAGCATGGGAGCAGTGAGAATGTGCAGAAATAAGTCTGAAAAATGAGATGGAGAGGTTCAGAAGTTTCAAAAGTCCCACTTTGCCATTCTGTCTGATAGCTTTCCTCGCCATGAAAATGAGAATTCTGTACCTTCTCCAGCTTTTAACAGTTTTTGCAGCTTATTTTTTTCTTACTCCCTATTGCCTATAGATGTCAGTATGTGGGCATTTTTGAATATATATACATATATAAACACTTATTTTAATTTTTATAAAATATATGAATTTTATCATTTAATTTTAAAATATATGTATCACTTTAAAATAAAACTGAGAATTTTAAAACCCAGAAATAACAAATAAGTATTACAAGATTTTATTACAACTTTTTTCTAGTTGGAAATATAATAGTCTTATTGCATTTTTATTCAGTACTTGTTGAAGATTTGAGTGTTAGGAATAGAATGTAGATCCTTCCTTCTTTCTTTCTGTCTGTCTGTCTCCCTCAATAGGGGTAGTATAATGACTCTCTAGAATTTGAGCACATAGTCTGCAGAACACAATTCCACCACCTCTTTATGTATCAGTTTTCCATTTTATGGACTACCTGGTATACTGTAAGCCTACAATATATGTAAATATTACTATTATTTTGTATTATATTATGCCACGCATGCTCTTTGTGGAAAATATCAGGAGAAATAATGGAAGTCTACATGTGAAACAATTCTGATAAATAAAACCGGTTTGAGGCCGTAATGGAAGCTGAGAATTAAAATCCACTTTAAGCAAAAGCATGTTAAAGCTTTACCCAAACAAGCATAAATCATCTAAAAACCAAAGTGACTGTAATTATTTTATAACTTGTTCCTGTTATACGTTGCCTTGATAAACAAAATCCAGATTGATTCCAGCGATCGTATAGACTCTCATGGATATTCCTAAAATTGAAACTGGGACCTAATAGTTTCTAGAGTAATCATTAAATCCTTCTGGATGAAAGAGCAGCTTGTGGTTGTGCAGGATGTGGTGGTCAAAGAATGAACACAGGGACCTCAAGTGGTGCCAGTGGTTGTGATAATGGTTTCGTGTATTACGTGATTATTTTCCAGGCATTTGCTAAGCATTTTGCCTATATTACATCTTCTAAACCTCACTATAAACCTATGA